GACCACCGCCTAAGTGGGTCCCATTGGGAGCTGCTTGCGCGGTCTCGCAAAAATGCGAATATCTCTCTACTTCGATGTCGTATTGATGAATGGTTTAATGTGTTGGAAACTAGACTCGTAGATCTTCAATTTGATATGTAGATCATCCATTTATGCCAAGTATATTGGGAGAAAAGTGCATCTACATTTGACCTAAATTTCAGCATATTATAAATGCAACTTGTGATGATCTTTGCTAACTTTTGTTCCATAACTCGTTTGACTTAAAAACATAACACACGACTATAATACAACTACAATAACTCATAAATTAACCTCCTCATCATGTTAATCACCCTAGTCTCACCCCAAAAGAATATGTTATAACATTCCAAACTTGTCGATTTTTGACGAAACTTATTTTCTTCAATTCGTTTAGCGACTAAGCTTTCCAACCCTTTTGGCACTTGTTATTCATGATCTTAAATATTTGTAACCTCCAAGGTAACATGATTAACTTACTTTATTTGCTTCCAAATATAATCTCATTTTCGAGCTTACATCAATGACTTACGACGTACTCTCACGTATGAAAACTTGGGGTGTAACATCCACTCCGCAAGTGCGATTACACCAGCACCAAAAAATCCTCAGCAAGTTGCGTAAGTCAAATTTTAACCGTTTGAGCATCCGAAACACACCTGAGGCCCGCGGGACCTCCACTTATCCTAAAAAAACTTACGAACTTAGTCGAACCCTCAAATCACATCAAAAACCGCTAAAGACACAATTCATTCTCCAATCCAAACCTAATGAACTTGAAACTTACAAATTCGACAGCCGATGCCGAAACCAACCTAACCACGTCCGATTGACCCCATAAATTTCAAACAAGTCGTAATCAACATTACAGAGCTATTCCAACTTCTGGAATCAGATTCCGACCCCGATATCAAAAATTCCACTACCGGTCCAAATCTGCGAAAATTCGACTTTCGCTATTTCAAGCCTAAATAAGCTACGGACCTCAAAAATACAATCCAAACAAGCCCCTAAGTCCAAAAATCATCCAACGAAGCTAACAGAGTCGATGGAACTCTATTCCGAAGTCGTCTCCACATAGTTTTTGCTACGGTCTAAATTCTAAACTTGAGCCTCCGTTTAGGGACTAAGTATCCCAAAATACTTCAAAAACCAAAACGAAACTACCGGCAGGTCACAATAGCAGAAAAAGATACGGCGGAAGCAGTTAATAGGGGATCGGGGCTCTAACTCTCAAAACAACCGGCCGAATCGTTACAGATTATTGATTTACTCTTGTGAATTCAATTGTCTACTCTGCACAAGGCACCAGTTGTCAAATCAACCTTTCATCTTTGCTTCTCAGGTTCAACATGTGTTTTATATCCATCATCCAATGGCAAAGGAGTGTCAAATTGTTATTAAACTTAAGCGAAAAGGTTTTTCCGATTTAGCTGAAAATACACAAGCAACTGGGCATATGGAAGGCCATATGAAAGTGTGACATGAGCAACGACTAGATGATACTACATTTGAAAGTGAAAAGATATTGAATGAGTTAGGGATGGAGTGTCTGGAATGAAAATTGACCCACAAACTCTAGAAAGTATTGAAGTATTTGATGACGATTACATGTATTATTGTTTGACTTGGTAGTTAGATATTATTTCATACTTTTGGAGAGTAGAAATTATTTTCAATTTGGCAGGAATCATAGTCTTTGAGCAATTTCATTGAGATGGTAAGAAAAACACACAAGAGATTCTAGTCAAGGTGGGCTCTTTCCAATTCTTCGGAGCAACAAGGACGACAAATGGGATGAACAACAAAGTCTGAACCACCTAAAAATTGGCGAAAAAATAAAAGACAAGCTGAGTATGGGTGGTACAATTGGCTTAAATAATAAATCGATTAGTAATGAGCAAGTAAATAGTTTCATACCCAGTCACAAACCGTTTTCTATTTAAGTTATTGTTGCTATTTATATTTCTTTTAATTATAATAATCTTCTCTTGTAATAGGTTTTCAATAAGTCAATTGAAGATCACAAGCAATCATTATCACCAATTTCTATTGTTCACACAAATAAGCAGAGTTCGAGCATTATATACTAGTTGTGAGTTTAATTACTCAGGTGTTGTGATCTTATTTTTTAAGCAGAATATGTGGGAGTTTAGTTGTTGATATATTGGATATGTAGCAAATTTCATAATGTGGCTGCAACCTGTTTGAGCTGTAGTGCAAACTTATTTCGTACAGTAGTTTTATACTTCGCTTAGAATACATTTAGTGGAAAACTGCCTTTACTACTCATCTCCACCATTCCTTTATTTCTCCTCGGTTTAGTATTTAGACAAATGCAATAAATCCAGTCTTATATCATCAGATTCATTGTATTTATTTTTATTTATTCTATATTGGAGATTTGAGATTATCTTATAAATTTGTGAAACTCAGTTTTTTATGGTTATTATTTTTTTAGATATGAGAGATATAATTAAGATAATTTTGGCATGGCTTCTTTCTTTATAGTTTTGCCTCTTCGGCTTTGGTTTGGTTTGGTGGAAGTTCAGTCATTCTTTGGTTAAAGTGTGCTTAATTGTAGCTACTCTTTTAATTGATGTTCACTTGTCTGTTAGTATTTTGAGAACCGATGGGACAATATCGGAAGATACCTTTGTGATTTGTGAAAAATGAAGCTTATAGATGAAAAGAACTTTTACATTATTATCACAGAAGGAAATCTAGTATAAAGGTGCTATCAAGGTTTACTCTAGACTTTAGCTTGTAATTTAAAGTTCTTATACTATTTTTGTAGAAGTGTACGACATTCTGGGGCTATATAAGCTTTGTCTTGTTGATTGCATCTTGTACTCTAATCTCAATAATAAATTCTATAAACTATCAAATTAACCTTTCTAATATTTCTTTCTCATGTAAACCAAATTAAGAAGAACAAAACTAATAAACTTAGGACCAAAAAAAAAGAAATGGGTAAGTTTGGTAAAACATTCAACACATATTGTATTTTTCAGTTTTATTACATAGTTTTAATTCTCCTTTTATGTGATTCTTTGGAGAAATTCTGAAGGATGTAGATCAAGTTTTTGCAAGGAATACTTGGCTTGTGAAAATCCGTAAAGCCTTGTTGCAGAATTTATTCTAGAATTTAAGGGAACTCTTTCAGATTACGAGTGAGTTTGACATAGTTCCATGTTAAAATTACTATATCTTTAATGATTTAGTTGGAATTATATTTATTTGAGATATAACAAGTCATTTGATTTGAACTCAAACTTATAAAGGAGACCTTATTATGTCAGTACTATATTGTTTAAATCCAGCGTATAAAGAAATTTTCTTTTTCATATTTGTTACATTGTATATAAAGAGTGACATGTATGAATGTACAAATCGAATATATATTTTATTCACGACAAAAAACTACATAAAAGAATATTATTCATATTTTAGAAAATTTAGTATGTAAATTTTAAAGTGACATTTCAGAAGATTTTTAAAAAATGTCATTAATTTATTTGACATTTACCTAAATGTTGTAAAATTTTTAGTGACATTTACCAAAATGTCGTAAATTATAAGCCGATATTTTTAAAGGCTGTAAATAAATGTCATAATCTTTTTACAAACATTATTCTAAATGTCAGCAATTTTAAGTGACGTTATAAACAATGCCATAAATAAATGTCGTAGATTTCTTACCGACATATATATAAATGTCGAAAAATTCCCTACCCCAAAATTTACGACATTTGATACAAATATAAATTAAATGTCGGTAAATGAATTTGTCACATTTAAGCAGCATTAGACGACATTTATTTTATGGCCATAATGTGAAAACATGCCCCATACCTAAGGATGAAGATTTAGGTAATTAGGAGAGTCTTGGAAACGAGGAAACTCATTTTGCAACTTACCTCTATGGAAGGTGATCTGCTGAGTAGAATAACCAGCTTGCAAAGTTGTTTACCTCGAAAATACGAGTAATAATTAAATTTGATTTGTGGTTTTAAAGATATGTAATTTAGATTCAAAACCAATTAATAATCAAGAAGTATGAAGTAGAAACGAAATAAATAAGTGAATAAAACCAGTGTTACTTAGCAGTATCGACCTCGAGCTTGGTGACCTCGAGATGAACCAAGAACAATAAAGTAAAAACAGTAAAGACTATGGACAATTCTGATGAACAGTAAGAGAACAGTAGATAGTGTATTCTTTGCCAATGATTAGATGATCTTTACAAATAATTGGGTTCCCCTTTATATAATAGGGGAACCCTAAATAAGGTATATTTCTATTTACAGTAAGGAATATTATTGGTACAGCTGTCTAACCGCCTAGTACGGAATCATACCGTACAATCCTACTCCAAAATTTGCGCCACGATCTTGGCGGCGTGGCAGGAATCTTGCTCATTTTGTTACAAATTCATAATGGCATTATTCGAGGTCGAGCAAACTCGGCTTTGGTATTCCTCGGACTCCGATCCTCGGGCATCGCATCCTATCTTCGAGCTCGAGTCTGATCGCCCGGGCTCGAACTTGACCTTGCCCGAACTCGGCTTAAGACGACCCCTCGAGAATATAGATCGAAGGCATACGATCTTGACCGTATATAGATAGTCCCCGCGTTTCGTAGAGTAGGTCGATAAGAAATGATTTGATCTTTGATACTCCGACGCCTCGATGCCGATGTCAATATCGTGATGTCAGCGGCCGAAGTGACTGAAAGGTTGTTTTCGTGCGGTTCCAAAAGTCATTAATTGGAGGCGGCTGTAGGTCGGCTATTTGGCTTCCCCAATACGCTTAAGTGACTTCTATAAATAGGCCAACTTCACAATTTTGCAAACTTTACTTCTCAAATCGTTTTCAAAATCTCACTAGCTCCTTCAACTTCTCTGAATTCACCCTTCTCTTCAATTTGCCCTTACTTCATCATCAACCTTTTCTCTTTTCTTGAATTTCTACACAATAATGGCTAAAACATCTAGATTCGTTCCCCAAAAAGAAAAAGCCTCTTCATCATCGCGGCCGGCCAGAAGTAAAACAGTGGTGCCACCTCGTATCGAGGAGTGTATTCCCCCACCGTGTGAAACAACATCTGATTTCAAAATTGAAAAACATGTATCGACACCAGGCTAATGTGAGCCCATGTCCCGATACATCTGTTTCATAACCGAATATGAGCTTGAGCATGTGAAAAAGGACTGCAACTGGGAGAAAAAAGATGTAGTGATCCCTTCCCTTAAAGAGGACATCACTACTTATAAAGCGGGGTACTTAAGCGTGTATACATACCCATTTATGCTGGGTTTCGCAGATCAAGCTCTGGGTCCCATAGAACCAGTTATTCTTGATTTTTGCCAATAATACCAAGTGACGCTCGGCCAGATCAACCCTTTATTTTGGCGAATTATCAATTTAATCAGATACTTCTCGAGCCAGGTCGACGGGATTCCTTTTACCCTCGACCATATGATCAGGCTGTACAGCCCTCGCCTTTATCGAGGTGGCCTGATAAAGCCGCAATGCCTATCCTCGAAATCTCTTTTCTCCAGCATCGATGATGACAAAGATCGAGGATGGATAAGCCGGTTTGTCTGAGTCATGATATCTGACCTGATTCCTGCTGAGAGGATGCCATTCCCCGAGGAATGGAACATGAAACATAAGTACATCTTTATCGATAATAACTTTTATACCCTACTTCCCCTTCTTTTTTCCAGAATTTATCTTTTTCTCGATCTAACCTCTTTCTGATGGTGCAGTTGTTTCTTGGTTTCCTAGTGCGGTCCTAAACCTCGAAGGTTGGGTCTGAAAACTAGCCTCTACTTCTTCATACGCGAAGCGCTGCTGGCGTGACCTGACCAAAGGTCCATGGGAGGCTAAAAACCACAGTGAGTTCTCTTGTTTGTTTACTTATGTTTCTCAGTGAAATACATACTTTGTCTTTATGCAGGCCTCAGAGATGCCGTTGCTATGCAACCGCCCCCACCCGGTGAAGAAGAGATCCCAATGCCTTCCAAAGAAAAGAAAAGAAAGAGGGGGTCGCCTACAAATCCCTCGAAGCCAAAGAAAAGAACGGATCAAAAGGCTAAGGCCGATACTGTGGCCCTATCATCAGAAATGGCCCAACGCCTTTGGGATAAGGATGAAGAAGGGGATGATGACGATTGCATGTTGGTAGTTCAAAAAATAGGAAGCACTAATGCTTTGAAATCTTCCGAAACGATGGTGGATGATGCTGTTTATTCTAGGACTGAAGAAATCTCCGAGGGGAGTTCGATCAAAGTCCCCGAGCCATCGGGCAGCAAAAGAGCACTTCGTCCTGGAGGTCATTTGGAGGGCGAGACCGAGGGGCCCGGTCCCGAGGCCCTTCAAAGAGAAGAGAATGCCCCGAGTGGGTCACTTGGGGTAATTAACGAGGATGATTCACCGCCTGGTCCGGAGTTCTTCGAGGGGCAACTCCAAGATGCTCGGAACATGAGAACTCTTGATGTGGGGACGAGCCACGAAGGGCACGATATCTTTCAAGAATGCCTTGCATGGATCGAAGATGGTCCCGATCCGGATGCTTATTTTATTTTTTATGAGGCCCATCGACTCTTCAAACAAGTTTCCGTCCTTTAAAATTACGCCTGCGCTTTATCCTTGTTGCTCTGAGTCTAACTTTTCCTTTTTTGCGAAAGTTGTGACACTTTATTCAGAAGCATTCTCCAAGTCCCGAGTCGAGCTTGCTCGATGTGAGGCCGAGCTTAAGAATCTCCCAGAAGAGAGGTGTTGATACCCAATTTTTCCCTATATATATTTTTAATATGCAAAGTACCCTCAAAATAGCATATGTATGCATATATAATGTATGTCCAAGCGTCTCATTATTTTTCCTTAATTTTTAAAGGTTTTTAAACCAATTTATTTCCCTATTTTTATCCATAAAAACCCAATAATTATTTCTAATATTATCATTTTGGCGATTCACTTGTTTAACTTTTACATTTTTCTAAGATATAGCTAAGGGAGTGTTTGCATATTTTTTACAAAATCATTTAGTATTTTTAAGGCTAAATTGTATAATTGCAAGATTAGCCTCTTTTAGGATTTAATTGCGTTTATGTTCATAAAGATTATGTCCAGTATTATTAAATGGTTAATTATATGTCATAAATCATTTTAGTTCTTTTAATTTATTTCCAGAAATCAGTTTACTATTTTTTATAATTTTAATAGGGGAAAATTGGCGATTTAAATGATAGCCCAGTTACATTTCAATTATAGCCCAAAATTGACCCCAATTTGAACCCAATTTCCCTTGGCCCAAGTCCTTTTAAACCCGACCCCTTACCTGTTTAAACAACCCAACCCGGTCTCCCACCTAACCATTTCAATCCCAGCCGTTGATCATTTAGATCAACGGCTCTCGTTCCCCCTTATCTTAATTAATCCCAAACGACCCCAAAAGCCTATCATTTCTCACCTACCGCCGCCTTTGAACCCCCTTCCTCTCAAACTCTCTCTGCAACACCACCTAAACCCTAGCCGCCGCCACCCTAATCCACCCTAATACCTACCTAATCTATGGCCTTTTGTGGTCATTTGAGGCCTGTACCAGCCTTCCATGGCTCCTATGTGTTTGATTCTATGGTTTCATGAACAAACATCGAAAGGATTCGGTCCAGTCCTTGCTCGATGACCTTTCTCCGGTCATCCCTGACCTTTCTCCGACCAGCCATGGCCATTCGAGTCAAATCCTTGACTCTCCTGGTTAGATCGGTAACTTTCAAGGCCTTTCTCGTTTCTTTTGGTTTTTCTGAAACCCTAATCTCTAAGATCTTTCTATTTCTTTCATATCTGCTATAGATCTGTACTCGCTATGACTTTCTTAAGTGTTTCTCGAAGGTTCTTTAACTTTCCTTAAAAAACGACCCTTCATCTTCTCCGATTAGTAGTTTTTCCTCTAAATTTTCCTTTCAAAGTATCTCTGTATTTTAACGTATTTCTGTATTTTTTTATGGTTTTCTTCATATTATTCTTTTATCTGAGTTATTATGTTAAAACCCTATTTCTTTTGGGTCTCATTTCGAATCCTGAAGCTGTTTGTTTAATGTGTACTTGTTTAACTAAGTTCCTTGTTCTTGTTTGACTTATTTGTGTTTATC